TCGAAAAATTTAAAAAATTGAAAAACCAAAATGTCGATAAAGGGAAATTTCGAAAAATCGAAAAATTGAAAAACGTAAAAAGAAAACAGATCAAAGAAATTGGTACAAAATGAATAATCGATAAATCGAAAAATCGAAGAAAATTCGAAGAATCGAAAAACTGAAAAATCCCAAAACTGAAACATCGAAAAGTCTAGAAATCGAAAAAGTTGAAAAATCGAGAAAAATAGAAAATTTGGAAACGCCAAAAAATTGGAAAATTGAAAAATTTAAAAACTGAAATATTTGAATATTGAGAACACGAAAAATAAAAAATCCAGATATCGAAAATTTGAATAATCGGGAAATTGTAGAATTTTAAGGAAAAATTCTTAATGGAAAAATTCTCAAAATTGAAATATTGAAAACTTGAGGAAACGAAAAATTTTAAAAATCGAAAAACCGAGATGTCTAGAAAGCGAAAATTCGAAAAATTAAAAAATCGATAAAATGTAATATTTAAAAAGTCGAAAAATTGAACAATCACAACGGATTAAAGAAACGAGAAATTTAAAAACCGAGAAATCAAAAAAATGAGAAGTCGAGAATTACAAAAATTAAAAATTTTAAAAATCGAAAATTAAAACAGAAAAATTGAAAAATCGAAGAAAATTTGAAGAGTGGAAAAAATGAAAAAACCAAAAACTGAAACATCGAAATATTGAGAATTGAACATTTGAAAAATCGAGGAATCGAAAAGTCGAAAAATCTAAATGTCGAAAAGTCGAAAATTTGAAAATGCCAAAAATTGAAAAATCGAAAAAATGTAAAATTTGAAAAGTCCAAAAGTTGAACAATCCAAAACAGATTAAAGAAACGAGAAACCGAGAAATTTCAAATTTAAAAAATTGACAAAGTGAAAAATCCAAAAATCAAAAACTGGAAAATCCCAAAACTGAAACATCGAAAGATTGAGAAATCGAACATTTGAAGAATCGAGGAATCGAAACGTCGAAAAATCGAGAAGTCGAGAAATAGAAACATCGAAAATTCCAGAAATTGGAAAAGTCGAAAAATCTAAATGTCGAAAAGTCGAAAAATGGAGAAAAATCGAAAATTTGCAAACGCCAAAAATCGAAAAATGTAAAATTTAAAAAATTGACAAAATGAATAATTTTAAAACCGAAAAATTAAAAAACCGAAAAATCAACAAAACGAGAAATTGAGAATTCAAAAATTTGAAATTTAAAAAATGGAAAATTAAAATGCAGAAAAATTGAAAAATCTCCATACTTCAATCTCGAAAGATTGATGAATCGATAAATCGAGAAATCGAAGAAAATTTGAAGAATCGAAAAACTGGAAAATCCCGAAACTGAAACATCGAAATATTGAGAAATCGAACATTTGAAGAATCGAGGAATCGATACGTCGAAAAATCGAGAAGTCGAGAAATAGAAACATCGAAAAGTCCAGAAATTGGAAAAGTCGAAAAATCCCAACGTCGAAAATTTGGAAACGCCAAAAATTTAAAACTGCAAAAATTGAATATTGAGAAAACGAATAATAAAAAAAATCTAGATATCGGAAATTTGAATAATCGGGCATTTGAAGAATTTCAAGGAAAAATTTTTTGGAGAGTTATCTATTTTTTAAAATTACTCTTAAAATTAACCTGAACTAATCTGCCATCAAAAGATTTGTATTTAATTTCGAGTCCATTTTTGAAAAATTAAAGTATCAAAAAATTTAAAAACCCAAATGGAAAAATTCTTAAAATTGAAAACTTGCGAAATCGAAATCGAAAAATGGAGATGCCGAGAAAGCGAAAATTCGAAAAATCGAAAAATTGAACAATTAAAACGGATTAAAGAAACGAGAAATCGAGAAATTTAAAAAATTGTCAAAATGAAGAATCGAAAAAACGAAAATAAAAAAGAAACAGAAATAAAAAAAGCGTGAAGTCGAGAATTCGAAAAATTTAAAATTTAAAAAATCAAAAAATAAAAGGCAGAAAAATTGAAGAATCGAAAAATCAGAAAATCGAAAAAAATTTGAAGAATGGCAAAACTGAAAAATTCCAAAGCTGAAATATTGAAAAATTGAGAAATCAACATTTGAACAAACGAGGAATCGAAAAGTCGAAAAATCGAGAGGTCGATAAACAGAAACATCGAAATGTCCAAAAATTGGAAAAATCTAAATGTCAAAAAGTCGAAAATTTGGAACGCCAAAAATTGAAAACTTGAAAAATTCAAAAACTGAAATATTTGAACATTGAGAAAACGAAAAATAAAAAATCCAGATATCGAAAATTTGAATAATTGGAAAATTGAAGAATTTTGATTAAATTTTTTTGGAGATTTATCCATTTTAAAAGAAAGATTTGTGCTTCATTTAGACCGTCCATCTTTGAAAAATTAAAACATCAAAACATTTTTAAATGCAGAAATGGAAAAATTCTCAAAATTGAAATATTGAAAACTTGAGACATCGAAAAATTTCAAAAATCGAAAAACTCAGATGTCGAGAAAGGAAAAATTCGAAAAACCGAAAAATTGAAAAATGTAAAAAGAAAGCAGGTTAAAGAGCGAGAAATAGAGAAACTGAAAATTTAAATGTTTAACAAAATGAAGAATCGAAACATTGAAAAATCCCAAAACTTAAATATCGAAAGATTGATAAATCAAAAAGTCGAAAAATCTAAATGTCGAAAAGTCGAAAAATCGGGAAAAATCGAAAATTTGGAAACAACAAAAATTGACAAATCGAAAACAGATTAAAGAAACGAGAAATTATGAAATTTAAAATTTAAAAAATTGACAAAATCAAAAATCGAAAAATCAAAAATGGAAAAATCCGAAAACTGAAATGTTCAAAAATTGGGAAATCGAAAAATTTTAAAACCGAAAAATTAAAAAAAAACAAGAAATCGAGAATTCAGAAATTTGAAATTTAAAAAATCGAAAATTAAAATGCAGAAAAATTGAAAAATCCCCATACTTGAATCTCAAAAGATTGATGAATCGATAAATCGAGAAATCGAAGAAAAATTGAAGAATCGAAAAACTGGAAAATCCCGAAACTCAAAAACCGAAATATTGAGAAATCGAACATTTGAAGAATCGAGGAATAGAAACATCGAAAAGTCCAAATGTCGAAAATTTGGAAGCGCCAAAAATTGAAAAATCCAAAAATTTAAAACTACAAAAATTGAATATTGTGAAAACGAAAAATAAAAAAAATCCAGATATAGAAAATTTCAATAATCGGAAAATTGAAGAATTTTAAGTAAAATTTTTTTTGGTGATTTTTCTATTTTTTAAAATTACTTTTGAAATTAACCTGGGCAAATCTGCCATCAAAAGAAAGCGTGATTAAAAAGATTTGTGTTTAATTTCGAGTCCATTTTTTGAAAAATTAAAGCATAAAAAAATTTAAAAATCCAGAAATGGAAAAATTCTTAAAACTGAAAACTTGAGAAATCGAAAACGTGAAAAATTGAAATTACGAAAAATAGAAAAAAAACAAATAAAAAAAGCGAGAAGTCGAGAATTCGAAAAATTTAAAATTTAAAAATCAAAAAATAAAATGCAGAAAAATTGAAGAATCGGAAAATCAGAAAATCGAAAAAAATTTGAAGAATCGAAAAACTGAAAAATTCCAAAACTGAAATATCGAAAAATTGAGAAATCAAGATTTGAACAAACGAGGAATCGAAAAGTCGAAAAATCGAGAGGTCGATAAACAGAAACATCGAAATGTCCAAAAATTGGAAAAATCGAAAAATCTAAATGTCGAAAAGTGGAAAATTTGGAACGCCAAAAATTCAAAACTCGAAAAATTCAAAAACTGAAATACTTGAATATTGAGAAAACGAAAAATAAAAAATCCAGATATCGAAAATTTGAATAACCGGAAAATTGAAGAACTTTGAATAAATTTTTTTGGAGATTTATCCATTTCAAAAGAAAGAGTGATTAAAAAGATTTGTGCTTAATTTAGACCGTCCATCTTTGAAAAATTAAAACATCAAAACATTTTTAAACGCAGAAATGGAAAAATTCTCAAAATTGAAATATTGAAAACTTGAGACATCGAAAAATTTCAAAAATCGAAAAACTCAGATGTCGAGAACGGAAAAATTCGAAAAATCGAAAAATTGAAAAATGTAAAAAGAAAGCAGGTTAAAGAGCGAGAAATAGAGAAACTGAAAATTTAAAAGTTTAACAAAATGAAGAATCGAAACATTGAAAAATCCCAAAACTTAAATATCGAAAGATTGATGAATAAGTCGAAAAATCTAAATGTCGAAAAGTCGAAAAATCGGGAAAAACCGAAAATTTGGAAACAACAAAAATTGAAAAATCGAAAAATTTAAAAACTGAAATATTGGGAAAAACAAAAACTAAAAAAATCCAGATATCGAAAATTAGAATAATCGAGAAATTGAAGAATTTTAAGTACAATTTTTATCCATTTTTTAAAATTACTTTTACAATTTGATTAAAAAAATGTGTAATTTCGACCGTACATTTTTGAAAATGGCGGAGATGTATATTTAGTTGGTCCACAATAAAACGTAATCATCAATCATCAAATCGTTAGAACACCCCGTATATAGTTCTATTTTTTTATAACTGCTATTTACTCTTTTTCTTCGATTGTTAGGTGCTGTGGTGCACATAAATACGAAATTTATTAATTAATAAAATAATGTTCTAAAAGCGACACGATTAGAATGCAGAAAAACGACGTAAAATCCACAAAATGAAATTAAAATTTTTGATATGAAATATTTGTTGCAGCTGTGTTTCCATATAAATAATAAAAAAGCAATTTCTGTGTTCCAATTTTATTTCATTGTTAAGCGAGTTTGTGTATGACAAATAAGAGAAATAATAAAAATTACAATAATAATAATGATTCCACGAACGACACAGATAACCCCAGGTCCGGAAACTCCATTCACAAAATTGCGACAGAAATGTACGTTAAATACTAAATTGGTTTTATTTCAGAAAAATGTTCCGTTTCGTCAAATTGGCACTACTGTTCACAGCCATGTGGCTCCTGGTGGACTCTTCACCCCAGAATGAACTGAAAGAAGGCGACTGTAACTGTGAAAACTGTGAATGTATAAGCAGAAGTGTTTGTCCGTCCGAAAGAATCATCAAGTAAGAATTCGACGGAATTTCCAGCGAATATTTCTCTGAAACATTGCTCACCATCACACCCTTACTTATATTCGCAATATTTGCACAGTTGTTAAATCACCTTGTACATAAAAAAATCGTTATCCTGATAGGTGCGCCCTAAAACGCTAAATTCGCGTTTAACTCGAATATTATTGTTCGAGAAATACCCAGTCCATTAAAGAAATGAAATCTGTTTATGCGAAATTAAAAAAAGTTTTATGTGTTTCGGGGATGTTGAATCCTTCTCTTTGCGAGTAATTTCATTATATTATCTCGAAAGGTCGTTATGAAGTTGCGAGTTTTTTGCCGTTTAATTTCCCAAATAAAAAGTAGTGCAACTAATCGATAAAGTTCGCTTTTGAGTTGAAATAGAGAATAAAAATAAACCGTGAGATCAAAGCGTACATGGGAAAACTCGAGCCAATTACTTTATTCACTGTGCAGATTTACAATTTTCAATTACCTCTGCTTCTGCTATTTTCGTTTAAATTCGTTAAAAACCCATATCGCTCATGATTCACGACCACTACAAAGTCGCAAAATACGACAAAAACAACGTTTTGTTCAATTAACTTTTAATGTGATATCGAGCAAGTAAATACACGGCGCGATGGTTAAATTTTACACAAGCTTTCATTACAAGGATAACTTTGTTAAATTATCGATTCTGGGGAGTCTAAAGAACAAAGTTGCTAATGGAATTTTCTACTCTATGACGGTGCAAGATGCTGATGAGGATTTTAATTATATTTACAAAAAAATTGGTGGAAGATTATTTTTAGAGAACTTCCCTCGTCCCTGAAGTGGAACCGCTTCTTTGAAAAGTTTAAATTTGTTGCAATTGTGGTGTAAATAACACCTGAAATACATTAAGGCAGATAGTTAACCAACGGGGAAAATGCTTTTCGAAAATTGGAAAAACTGAAAAATCAAAAATTTTTGAATCGAAAAATCGAAATCCGAAATCTTCCCAAAAATTCCCAAAATTAAAATGAGAAAAACTTGAAAACTTAAAAACTTTTAGATTTATAAAAAGACAAGAAATCGAAATAGAGAACCCGAAAAATCTAGAATTGAAAAAATCGAAAATTAAAATATAGAAAATTTGAAGAATGGAAAAATCCAAAACTCCCAAAACTCGATTATTCAAAAGTTGATAATTTATCGAAAAACCAAAAATTGAAAAACCGAGAAGTCGAAAAATTGAAAAATCAAAAACCCGAAAAATCGAGAATTCGAGAAATCAAAAATTTGGAAACGCGAAAAATTGAAAAATTGGGAAATTGAACAAACGAAAAATTTGAAAAGGAGAAATTAAAAAACTGAAAAGGACAAAAATCCAGAAGTCGGGAAATCGAACCTTCGACAAGTCGAGAAATCGAGAAATGGGAAAAACAAAAAAATTGAAAAGTCGAAAAATCTAAATGTCGAAATTAAAAATTAAAAAATCGAAAAATCAGAAATCGGAAAACCAAAAAAATGGGGAAATCCAGAGCTCCAAAAGTGTAAACTTTAAAAAATCTAAAATTAAACTGTAAAAATACTGAAGAATCGAAAAATTGAAAAATCCCAAAACGGAAACATTACAAAATTGAAAAACCAAATAGTTGAAAAATCGAAAATTTGAAAACGACAAAAACTGAAAAATCGAAAAATTTAAATAAAAAACAAATCGAAAAATCGGGAAACTGAATAAACGAAAAATCGAAACATCGAAAAGAGTAAAATCTAGAAAATCGAAAAACTAAAAAATGAAAAAAAAAAATACCCGAAATCGAAATCGAGAACTCGAAAAATCTACAATTTAAAAAATCGAAAACTATAATGTTGGAAAAATGCAAAAACTCCCAAAACTCAAATATCAAATAGTTGATAAATTGATAGAACGAAAAATCGAAACATCAACAAATTGAAAAATCGAAAGAAATTTGATAAATCGAAAAATTGAAAAACCCAAGAAGTAAAAAAATACGAGAAATCGAAATCGTGAAATCCAAAAATCTAGAATTTAAAAAATTGAAAATTAAAATGTAGAAAAATTGAAGAATGGAAACATTCAAAACTCCCAAAACTCAAATATTCAAAAGTTGAAAAATTGAAAAATCGAAGGAAAGTTGATGAATCGAAAACCTGAAAAATCGAGAAGTCGAAAAATCGAAATATCGAAAAATCATGAAAAATCGAAAAATTTAAAAATGAGAAATTGAAAATCTGAAAAAGACAAAAATCCAGAAGTCGGGAAAGGGAAAGACCGACAAGTCGAGAAATAGAGAAATGGGAGAAACAAAAAAATTGAAAAGTCGAAAAATCTAAATCTCGAAACGTCAAAAATTGAAAAATTGAGAAATGGAAAAATAAAAATACAAAAATCCAGAAGTAGGGAAATCGAAACTTCGACAAGTCGAGAAATCGAAAAATGGGAAAAATAAAAAAATTGAAAAGCCGAAAAATCTCGAAAAATCGAAAACTTGGAAACGCCAAAAATCGAAAAATTTAAAAATTAAAAGATCGAAAAATAATATAATCAGGAAACCGAAATTTTGAAAAATGAGAAATCGGGAAACCAAAAAATGGAGAAATCGAGAGCTCCAAAAATGTAAAATTTAAAAAATCGAAATTAAAATTAAAAATATTGAAGAATCGAAAAACTGAAAAATTCCAAAACGGAAACATTAAAAAATTGAAAAATCAAATAGTTGGAAAATCGAAAAACTGAAAAGTCGAGAAATGGAAAATTTTTGAATCGAAAAAATCGAAATCTTCCCAAAAATTCCCAAAATTAAATGTGGAACACTTGAGAAATTAAAATTTCGTAAAACGTAAGATTTATAAAAAGACAAGAAATCGAAAAATCGAAAAACAGAAAAATTTAAATACAAAAACATAAATCGAAAAATCGGGAAACTGAACAAACGAAAAATCGAAACATCGAAAAAAGTAAAATTTAAAAAATCGAAAAACAAAAAAATTAAAAAAATACGAGGAATCGAAATCGAGAACTCGAAAAATCTAGAATTTAAAAAATCAGAAATTAAAATATAGAAAATTTGAAGAATGGAAAAATTCAAAACTCCCAAAACTCAAATATTCAAAAGTGGATAATTTGTCGAAACACCAAGAAGTCGAAAAATTGAAAAATCACAAACCTGAAAAATCGAGAATTCGAAAAATCGAAAATTTGGAAACGCCAAAAATTGAAAAATCGAAAATTGAGAAATGGAAAAATAAAAAGAGATCGAAAAATTGAAAAATCGGGAAATTGAACAATCGAAAAATTTAAAAATGAGAGCTCCAAAAGTGTAAAATTTAAAAAATCGAAAATTAAAATGTAAAAATATTGAAGAATCGAAAAATTGAAAAATCCCAAAACAGAAACATTAAAAAATTTTAAAACCAAATAGTTGGAAAATCGAAAATTTGAAAGCGACAAAAACTGAAAAATCGAAAAATTGAGAAATGGAAAAATAAGAGATCGAAAATTTGAGAAACTGGGAAAACATAAATCGAAAAATCGGGAAACTGAACAAACGAAAAATCGAAACATCGAAAAAAGTCAAATTTAAAAAATCAAAAAACTAAAAAATAAAAAAAAAATTATCAGAAATCGAAATCGAGAACTTAAAAAATCGAAAACTATAATGTAGAAAAACTGAAGAACGAAAAAATTCAAAAACTCCCAAAACTCAAATATCAAAAAGTTGATAAATTAATAGAAGGAAAAATCGAACATCAAAAAATTGAAAAATCGAAGGAGATTTGATGAATCGAAAAATTGAAAAACCCAAGAAGTCGAAAAACTGAAAAATCAAAAATCTGAAAAATTAAAAAAAATACGAGAAATCGAAATCGAGAACTCCAAAAATTTAGAATTTAAAAAATTGAAAATTAAAATGTAGAAAAATTGAAGAATGGAAACATTCAAAACTCCCAAAACTCAAATATTCAAAAGTTGATAAATTGATATAACAAAAAATCGAAAAATCAAAAAATTGAAAAATCGAAGGAAAGTTGATGAATCAAAAACCTGAAAAATCGAGAAGTTGAAAAATCGAAACACTCGAATAATAATCGAAATATCGAAAAATCATGAAAAATCGAAAATTTGGAAACGCCAAAATTTGAAAAATTGGGAAAGTGAACAATTGAAAAATTTTAAAATGAGAAATTGAAAAACTGAACAAAAACTCCGACAAGTCGAGAAATAGAGAAATGGGAAAAACAAAAAAATTGAAAAGTCGAAAAATCCAAATCTCGAAACGTCAAAAATTGAAAAATTTAAAAAATAAAATAAGGGAAATCGAAAATTTGAACAATCGGGAAATTGAAGAATCAAAAATTGAAAAATGAGAAATTGAAAAACCAAAATATTGAAGAATCGAAAAATTGAAAAATCCCCAAACAGTTGGAAAATCGAAAAGTCGAAAACCTGAAAAATTAAAAGGCCAAAAATTGAGACGTCGGGAAATCGAAACTTCGAAAAGTCGAGAAATCAAAAAATGGGAAAATCAAAAAAACTGAAAAGTCGAAAAATCTACAGGTCGAAGTAGAAATATCTAAAAAAATGGAAAATTTTGAAACGCCAAAAATTGGAAAATTTAAAAATTAATCGGAAAAACTGAAAAATCGAAATACCAAGAAAGCGAGCAATCGAAAAATTGAAAAACTGAACAATCGAAAAATCAAAAATTTTCCCAAAAATTTCCAAAATTGAAATGTTGAAAATTTGAGACACAGAAAACTTGAAAAATCGAAAAGTCGAGTAATCGAAAAATTGTAATTTAAAAAAATAATAAAAAATCGTAAAATCGAAAAACGTGACATTTAGAAAGTTGAGAAAATAAAGAATCGAAAACTCGAAAAATTAAAAAATGGAAAAAGTCGCTTATTGCAAAATCGAGAAGTCGAAAAACAGAAAAATTTAATTATAAATAAACAAATCGAAAAATTGGGAAACTGAACAAATGACAAATCGAAACATC